ACACTCGGGGTCTACACAGGTTCTGTACACGGGTGGGGCGAGGTCTAGGGATCGAGCCCTGGGATCTGCATCTGCTACTGCCAAAAGGTGAAAACGGTTTCACTCCCGCCGTCCTAAATTCGAGGTCCTCCGAGAATATATCAGTCCAAGGCAGGACCTTTACCCTTTCTATCACGCTCATAGGCTCTGACTATGTCGGGAGCTGTTTCTAGAAGTTCTGTTCTAGTGAACCAGCGGTCGTCTTCCGGTTCTTCGTAAGCAAACCGGACCTTATACTGTTTCTGTGGACGACCTCTACCTCCTGTTCTAAAGACATCTTCATCTACAATGCCTTCAATGTCATAACTTCCATCCATATCCGGGGGGATCATGGATCTTCTTGAAGGGAACTGTTGACTTGTGACACACGGCAACAGTTTTGAAGCATGGAAAACAGGGTATGTGTGGAGGTGTGCTGGAATCTCAATAGTGTAGGACGGTCCATCCTCTCCGCCCTTGACTTCTAGCACTGGCCACGGTCCTCTATATGCAGGTAGCAACTTCTGCGAGATGTGCTCCTCAGGTGCAAACTCTTTAGACTTGACCCAGACTAAGTCGCCTACTTGAAACTGCGAGGGGCGACGGTGCTTATTGGCCTGTTCTATCATTCTGTGCTGGGCCTTCCTGAGGTTCTCAACAACTGTAGCTAGCTCCTTCTCGTGCTGTATCGCGAACTCCCTGGTTCCGGGCGGTAGCCTGTGAATCTGATCCCGGTTCAGTCCTTCGAACGGTCTGGGTGGTCTAAAGGACTTGTGCATCTCATTGGGAGTTCGCCAGGTGGATAGATGCACGCTGTTGTTGTATGCACTAGCTACCTTAGGCAACATCTCATCCCAGTTAATCTGGTCAGGTCTAATGTACATGCGCAGAACTTGCTGTAGGATCTTGTTCATCTGTTCTGTCTGACCGTTGGTCTCTGGATGACGGCCAGATGATATTGCCAGATGACATTAATAACTTTGACTCGTAAACTCTCATGAGTTCTTGCCAGTTCTGGCTGGTGAAACGACTATCTCTATCGCTAACTATGGATAATGGGACACCGTTCTCAGTAACCCAATGATCAAAAAACTTCTGAATAACTAATTATGTGCGTGCCTCTGCAGGCAAAGGAACAAAAACAGCATACTTGCTAAATCCGTCGACTATGACCATGACTTGGCTCTTACCATGCCTACTCCTGACCTGAGTATCCATGAAGTCTATGGACACTGAGTCTCCCGGCTGATCAGGAATGGGCAAAGGTCTGAGAAGACCTAGAGGGGCACGCGTAATAGTTTTATTCCTCTGGCACACTTTACAACTGCGAACATACTCTATGCAGTCATTCTTCATCCCTGGCCAGGTGTACGCACGCATCAGATTGGCTAATGTCTTTTGCCAACCAAAGTGTCCCTCGGTGTCATGGCATTCCCCTAGGATCAGACTGTGGATTTCCTCACTGTTGGGAACGCATAGGCGGTCGAATACATCCGTCTTCTCAAACAGCAATCCTTAACTCTCTTGAGGAGGTCACTATAGATAGGGTCCTGCGCATACACTTGCCTCACTTTCTCCTGCAGGTCTCTCCCTATATCCAGATAGTGTACTATAGCTCCAAAGTAGTCTGATCTTCTACTCAGGGCATCCGCGACTACGTTATACTTGCCTTTGACAGGCTTAAGCTCAAAGTTATATTGGTCTATCTCAGCGGCCCACCTAGTTAACTTAGGTGTCATCTTGGCCTGAGTCTTTAACCATCGAAGCGTTTCATGGTCAGAATACACTTTGAAGTGCCTCCCAAGCAGGTAAATGCTTCCAATGCTCTAAGGCCTGCCTGAGAGCGTAGAGTTCTCTCTCATACGTCGAGGTGGCTACTTTCTCTGAAGGCATCCTCGCGGACATGAACTCTACGGGTCTATAGCCACTGCCGTCATCTTGCTGCAACACGGCGCCTATCCCATACTGACTCGCGTCCGTGGTGACGACAAATGGCAGGGACGGATCTGCCACTTTGAGGACAGGGTACTTTATTAACACGCGCTTCAGTCTCTTTAGCGCAGCCGTACAATCTTTGTCCCATTGCCAAATTGCCTCTTTCTTAAGCAACCTGCGCAAGGGAGCGGCAATAGTAGAAAAGTTCCTCATGAACTTTCTATAGTAGTTAGCTAGTCCTAAGAACGACCGCAACTCTGTCAACGTGAGGGGCGACGGCCAGTCTCTAATTGTCGCTATCTTGTTGTCCTCAGGTTTGCTGTCCTCAGGTTTAATCCCATCTCCGTCTAATACGTGGCCCAAGTACAAAACTTGTGTCTTGGCCCACTCGCACTTCTTCGCGTTGATCTTGAAGTTTGACTCTCTCAACTTCTCCAAGACCACCCTCAGATGACCCTGATGCTCCTGGAGGGTCTTGCTGAAAACTAAGATGTCATCTAAATAAACTACTACAAACTTGTCTAACCACGGCCTAAACAGATCGTTCATACATCGTTGAAACGTCGCTCGCGCGTTAGTCAGTCCAAAGGGCATCACTATGAACTCATAATGCCATATCTAGTCCGGAACGCAGTCTTATACTGGTCATCAGGATGGACCTCTATCTGATGGTATCCGAACTTCAAATCTATCTTAGAAAAATACTTGCAACCCTGCACCCGATCTAGAAGATCGTCTATCCTGGGCAGCGGTTCAACATTCTTCACAGTAATCGCTTTCAAACCCCTGTAGTCTATACACATTCTCAGCTCTCCTTCCTTTTTGGGGACAAACAAAACTGGTGCTCCAAAAGGAGATGAACTGAGCCTGATCCAACCTTTCTCTAGGAGCTCGTCCAACTGCTTGCGTAGCTCCTCTAACTCCCTCGGAGAAATCCTGTAGACTGCTCCGTTAGGAGTCCTACTGCCAGGCTCTACCTCTATCCTGTGTTGGATGGGTCGCGGCACTACTCCTGTCCGCGACTCAGTCAAATCTTTGAACTCCTCCAGCAGCTTGGCAATGGTTGGATCTGTGGAAGTCACTTCTTCCTTAGCCTCAGTGACAGGTCTAACATACACTACAAAGACCTACTCCTCTAACTTCTCATTTTTCACTAGTCGCGCGAACGCGGAAGCACTGAGACAGCAATGTGCCAAGGTGGTATCTACACCTGACACATGAAACAGGTGGGTAGTCTTAACCTCACCTGACGGACTAGGGAGCCTACACTCGTGCTCTCTCAGATGGAGTGTGGCCCCTGCTGCCTCTCCCCAATCCCTTCCTAACACTATGTCAAAAGGAAGGTCATCATGTACGAGGAGAGTCAGGGAGTGGAGAACTTTCTCCACCTTTCCATCCTTCTCTAGGCGAAAATACGCCTGGACTCCCTCTACGTAGTCCTCAACACGCATTGTGCGGTTGTCTGCGAGGACACTGACTATAGGGTTTGTTAACTTTTGGACTTTCAATCCTAGCCTCAGCTTCTTCAACGCTCTACGGCTAATATAACTACGGGTCGCCCTGAGTCTATAAGGGCCCCTACTCTGCTTCTAAATACTTCTACATCTACCAAGATCAGTTGTCCCTTACTCTCCTTCTTGGCCCAGGCTGGCATCC